AAACAAGACTACAGATTTCACGGGTAAGTCTGTCCTTCATCATGCACCTGCAGTACTATTAATAATAAAACGAGGGACCAGCAGTTAGCGTAATGGCTATGTCGCTGGACTCCCATGTAGTCGACCGCGGTTCGCGTCCCGGACCCGGTGGCTTAAACTCATGCCGGGCGCATGTGCATGCGTGCCCAAGATCCCGAGAGGGGAAGGGATTGCAGCATGGCCATCCCCCTGGGGGGTGATTTTTTGCTTTCTATCTGTCTCTGTCTGTCTGTCAAGTCCCCTTGCCCTATAGCAAAAACCCCCCCAAAAAAAAAAAAAAAAAAAGAATAAAAAAACAATTACGCCAGATTTATATTATTTTGTTGTGGTGTTGCTTTCTGACACTTCTCTAACTTGGGCTTTTTATATGGCTAGAATCACCTTATAATTACCTTATTCTAGTGTGGTGCCACGTGACATCTATTGAAAAATACATCCGCCCTGGTTCCACAGCACACCGCAAGGTACCTGCCTCCACGAGAGAGAGAAACAGAGAGGGAAAGTGAGGAATCAAACCCGGGGGACAGCCATGCCTCAATCCTTTCTCCTCCATCCTCCCCCTAGGATTCTGGGCACACATGCACACACACCCAGTGTGACTCTCAAGCCACCATGTCCAGGACTTGAACGGCAATCGGTCGTGTGGGAGTCCAGCACCTTAACCACCACACTACCTGATGGGTCCTGTTTTTGTTTGTTTTTAGTTTACCAGAGCCTGCGTGCAGTTGCCAGAGAAGGACAAGGAGAGGGGGAGAGGCAGGAAGCACCCTGTGGGGCATGGTCATGCCACAACCCCGTCTCCATGTCTCCAGCCTGGTGGGATTTGGGCATGCATACCCAATGTATTTTCCAAGCTGCCAGACCCCAGATTCTAACTGTGCAGTCGGCCATGTGGGATCCAGCTCCCTTAACCACTAGAGCACGGGGAGCTTTCTGCTGTCCAGCGTCCTGCCAGGGGATACCCATGACGGCTTTCTTAGCATTCTACAATCTGTCAGTAAAATACAGAGGGCCCGACAGCAGTGTCTTCACTTCTGACCTACAGAAGTGGCAGAAGAGCCAACACGAATCCGGCAGTGAGACAAACTGGTACCTCGTGGTGTCTGCGGAATCGGGCCGGGCCTCAGCTCTTCTCTTGCTAGAAGGTGGACAAACATTTTTAAAAACCCGGCCGCGAGGTCACTGTGGTGATGACCTCATAAAAAGAAATTCTGATGTTGGTGTGCCACTAGGCTGCAACCTCACCACTTCAAAAACAGGGGATCAGCAGTTGGAATAATGGCTATGTCAGTGGACTCCCACGTAGTCGACTGTGGTTCAAGTCCCGGACCCGGTGGCTTAAAATCACACTGGTCGCATGTGCGTGCATGCCCAAGATCCCGAGAGAAGAGGAGAAGAGGAGAAGGGATTGCAGCGTGGCCATCCCCCCTGCGGGTGATTTCTCGCTTTCTGTCTTTCTCTTTCTGGCAAACACATGTGCCCTAAAGCAAAAACCTCTCAAAATAAATAAATAACAAAG